AATTAAAATTATATTTCAACAAAATTTGTTTAAAGATAAAATAAATTATTTTTTTATTAATTCAATTTATAATTTTTATTAATTATAATAATTTATAAATAATAATTTTTAAATATTTTTTAATGATAATTTATAATATTTATAATATTAAGATAATTATAATATATAAAATTAATATGTAATTAATTAAGATATATGAAACAAGAGGTTAACTATGTTTAAAAAATTTTATCGAAATATAAAATGAAAAGATATATTATCATTTAAATTTTTGAAAGTTAATTAAATCAAAAAGTAAAGTAATTCCTTTTATCAAATTGAAAATGATTGTTTCATAATAACATCATAATATTATTATCTATATCCATCACGTGTATTCGTTATATTATCTGTTATTCATCATATAGACCATTATAAAGAAAATATATATATGATTAGAAATACAAACTTTTTATTCTATACTATAAAAATATATCATATATTTATATATAATTTAAATTGATATATTGAACAGATATATTCAAAAAATTTTTCGTTTTAAAATATATTTAAAATATAATATATATCACACGAATTCTTGAATATGAAAATTAACGATTTTAGTAATCTTCTGAAATAATTCTATTGCGTTTCCATTTATGATTAACATAATGCGATGAATACAAGTCGGAGAAACTTGAAGATAATAGCGTCATTGAATTTATAACACATGAAATCATAATTTAAAGAATGTAATTTCGCGCTAATGTCAACTTCCCATGCCGGTAATTCATTCGCAATTATAATTAAACTTCTAATTTCACAATTGATTATTTAAATTCGATATCAAAATAAAAAATATATAAATAATTATCTGTTTAATGAAGATAACGGAAATTAGAATCACCGTTACCTACTTTGCAATGAAAAATCACGATTATTGTATAGGCCGGTTACTAGTGGGGTGGCGCGTAAGAAATGAGGGAAGTGCGGCAAAAAAGAGACATTCGATATGTGCTAAACGTTCTTTTATCTATTTCGAATGCATATTTTAATTATTATAATTTCAAATATTAGGTTTAATAGATATTTCTTTATTCGTGATTTTAAAATAGATATAAAGAATTATGATTTTCATAACAGAGAAATTCAGTGAATCAATACAGGTCCATTAATATATGTTAGCAATCTTACGTAATTGATCAATGTTAGATATTATATGATAAAGATACACCATTAGATTAAAAATTATATAACTTAACGAAAACCAACTTACCAACGTCGTTGTGGGAGGATTTCTCACTAGTAAAGACGACAGCTTTAATAGACCACTCATTTTGATATAATGTCACCTGTTCAAGTGAAAATTTTTATTATTAATAATTATACGCGCACTTATTTGTTAAATGCGCGATTCGATTATATCGTGTAACTAACCCTAATTTTTATTATTTCACTCCCGCACTTCTTGCACGGCGATGTGAAACGTTCGAGTCGGTTGAGTACCGACTACTGGTGGAAGCTCCCTGATGAATACCAGTGCTGCCAATTGTATCGTTATAAGATAACCTCACCTTTAAGGCTCTCGCTAATTTTAAATTTCCATTTCATTATTTATTATTCATATATCTTGATTGTTTTTAACATTAATAACATATAATTGTTTTAATATTAATTCTTAATCTTTCGGAATTTTGAAGTTAATATTATGAATAGTAGCTAACTATAGGCGGGAAAATTAAATGATACCGCGAAAAAATTAAGCGGTTCTCATTTCACTTTACATATGATGGGGTGTTAACGGTATTTTAAAATTATATACATAGCTGTAAATTGCGTGGGTTCTAAAGGGAAAGTACTCTAGTATTAACTTTAATAATGTATATCATATATTTATCTATGATCTCAATAATAAAAATTAAATGAAAAATTTTAAATACATTTAATAAACTTTTATAAGAATTAATATTGAAGTTGAAAACTATAAAGCTTCGTTGTTAAACATAAAAGTAACATTATTTATATGTATACAACCATTTTAGATTTTAAATTTTATCATATTTAATGAAATAATGATCTATGCGAATTGATTTTGAAATCTTTTAAAGAGTTTTAAAATATTCAAAATCTATCATTATATTTTGAATTTCACGATATTGATTTTGTAAAAATTCATATTTTACAAAGTTGTTAACATAGTCACTAACGGTGCTTAACTGAGCTTTATTTCCTGTTGCACGCGGAGAAAAAAAAATGAAAAAGATTTATCGTGCTCCAGGGTTGGCGGTATGATGTATATTTTGCTTCCCTATTGGTTGATTCTTTGTGGGCTCGTCTCTACATACATAGATAAACTTTATACTATATGGTGGGGTATTACATAGCAGGTTTCTCTTTCAACCAGATGCTACTAACACAATAATAATTCAAGTATTGGTGTTGCTATAGGAATAATTTATGAAACAGGTTAACTTCCACGTATATAGTTAGTGTAGGTGTTCATGGCTAAGCTTATAAATGATATAAATCTTTTAAATATTTTATGAATATATTTTATATAATATTTTAATAGTAAGTAATTATTGAAAAATTTTGTTGATTTGTTTAAAGATATAATAATATATAAAGTATATAATAAAGTAAATATTTGAAAAATTCAATTTACAAATCAAAATGCAAGAAAAAAATTAAAAATTTTTTAGATTAATATATTTGAAATTGCTACATTTTTTCGATACAATGAGATCGTAAAATTATATTATATATATTTTTAATTATATAACTTCGTTGCATTTATCATATACATCGAATGTAATTAAGTAATATAGAATGTAATAATATCATGCATGTTTTTTATGCACGTCAATTATTCATCAATGATTCGATCTTACGAAATATAGCAAATCGATGTAAAATTTCCAAATAATCATTTTTACCTTGTTGAAATGAATGAATAATGTTCGAAAATAATCGTAAACAGCAGAAAAAAATGACTTTCATTCGGAAGCATATATGTATAATTAAAAAACATATATGTATAATTCCGTTTGTTAGACGATTGGTTGGCTATTTAATATGTAAATAAAATGGATAAATCCCCGCTTCTGTTTAGAATTAGTTATTGTAGCATCGTTTGAATGCGATGAACAAAATTTATATGGAATTCACGAACCTTCTACAAACGACGAAATCTATATGTTGTCGTTGTAATTTCGAGATAACGAACTGAGCTCATATTTAAATTATCAGCCACACTAACACGAACAATGTTAGTCATTGATAATGCATTAATTTAAAAAATAGAATAGAACCAGACGAAAAAAACGAGAAAAAAGATTGGAAAAAATCTACCAGTTTCATAACCGTATTTAATATATTCGAACTGTTGGTGGAACGTGTCGAGCTTCTGATTCGTCCAGTGTCGTATCGATAACGGGACGATAAGAAATGCTGATCTGTAAAATATAATAAATGTTTTTGAAATTTGTTTTTGAAAAATAATAAAAATAAAACAACATATGTATATGTAATATACAAATCTAAATATAATACAAATCTAAATATTTACCAATAAGAAAGTTTTTGAAAAGAAAAATAAATAAAATGTCTTTAGTGAAACTCTGAATTCAATTAGTAAATAAATTCGAATATTTTTACATTAAACAAAGAAATAAAAGATTCTTTCAGAAAAATATAATAGAATATAATAGATATGCAATAGAACTCTATTCATTAGAATGAAATTATAATTATTATCGAATTAAAAAAAATTCTTGTTTATTAAATTTACTTATGCGTAAATATGAATTATTATTTGAATAAAGATTTATAGATAATAGTAATAGATATCTCTTATTATATAACTACACTCATAAATTCGTTTCGACTGACTTAGATAAATAGAATTCCATTGTATGATCTTCTGTAGTATAGGAATGTATATAGATATATATATTTGCAGAATGAACGATAATAGAATATGGGCAAGTTTGATAACTCACTGAACCATCTGGTCGGGCCCACGTAAGTGTGTGTTTGCGCCAATGTTCTTTATACGATCGCTTCTTTTGACCTTCGAGCGGTTTCGTATAATCGTACTCGTCGATTCGTTCCTGTAAATATAATTTTTGTTTGAATTCTTCGTGAAAATTAACAAGTTATATATATATATACTAAATTATACATTGCGAAAATTGCAAATACTTTGAAATCTTCACGGGCATGCGATCCTCGAGATTCTTTTCTGTTTTCTGCTGCATAAACGATGTGCATGCAAGACAACATCATATTTTGTAATTCTATAGCTTCTACCAATTCTGTGTTCCATATTAGTGATTGATCTTGAACCTGAACAGTAAATTAAACGTGAAATTCCTGATAACTGTGTCATAAAATTGGAAATATTTAATAGAAAATATTAATAAAAAAAATTTCGATGTGTACTTTCTTACATAATTAAATTATTAATAATGTTTATTAATAATTTACTAATAATAACAAGTTATAAATTATGAAATGAAATTTTAGAAATAAGTTTCACGAATTTCTAAGTCATTTGTTTGTTCTTTATATTTTTTTTTTAAATAGTAAAATCGAGATTCATAACCTATAACTTGTGGATCAATTAATATCAATAAGTAATAAATTATTCCGTAAAAGAACTTTAAATATTTTGTTACAAAATTATTTGAGTGGATATAAAATGTATAAAATCAATATGTGATTAATTTGATTTACTTTATTATTATACATTTCAACATAAAAATGTTAGATGATAGTATATTATGATGATACTATGATATTAATATACTAATTTTTATAATGCATTAAATGTTATTTCACATTTTTGCTATAATTTTTTAATAAAATATTTTTTATTTTTTACTTGTAAAATATAATAACAACATTTATTGGCGGAAAGTCAGAAATATTGCTCTGTTCATATCATTCGCCAATTAATAATTATATAACAATTATTGCAACTGTGAAAGAAACATTGAATGTCGTGCAGGTTAAGACTATAGTTCGATCTTACGTAAATGGAACTTTTCGATCAATTCACCTACACATAGATCCGGCAAATCGCAGGTATAAAGTCGCGTCATCTCACGACATGCTCGTTGTAATGTATCGCAGGTTCTGAATACTGAACAATATTTCTGCATAGTTTGCTGCATTTCTTCCCGTAGTTCGACTACAGGAACACAACCTTTTGCATGACGTGTCGCGTCGAAACGGCAAATAGTGTCCTCGCCAATCAACTGCATACAAATTTTAATGTTTGAAATATATTTATCAGAAGGAAAATGATAATAAAAGTTAATAATAGCTAGTATTCTATTCTTCATTGTTGTCATCAATCAATTCGATTCGAATGTCATTGTTGAATGGAAGTGTTTATTGAATAGAGGATTATGAATGGAAGTTGATGAATTAAACTGTTTTTTTTAATATTATAATTTAAAATATAACATTCAAAAAAATATTTTAATGTTAAATTAAATAAATAAATACCAATTTTTTTAAATAGTTTTCTATTGAAGTTCATAATAGTTTAAGTAATTGCAGCGCATAATTATGATAATATTAATTATAAGAACATTCCAATTGAACTTTGATAACTTGATTGCCTCACACATATGTGGGTTACCATTAAAAATAGAAAACGAGATAACGTTACAAAAAAGAACATACGATAAATTTACATGGTTGTAATTTACAACATTAATTGTTATCTTTATTTATAACTTTTCAATGTTATTTTTTTCTATTTTAATGAAATAAATTTTCTTTTTTAATATTCGATGCAAAATATACTGTATTAATATATGTACTTTTTGCTATGATTAATCAATATTGAAAGTTTAGTTTAGATATAAGAACAATATTATATCTCTTAATATGTTCAAGATATTCATTAATTAATTTTAATAAGATATTTATCATTATTTTTTAGTCGTTTAAGATTAAAAAGTAAATAAAATTTATCAGTATATTAAATAGACATTTCAAAAGTAATTTAATATTATAGATAATATGTTTAAAGATCATTTTTTTCATTATATTTTAAATGAAATTAAAAAAATTAAAAAAATACATTATAATATTTTGTTTTTATTAAATTGAATTTATCAAATAATAAAACTAGTATAATTTGAATAACTTTCAAGAATAATTTTCTACTTATATAAAACGTAATATCCTTAAAGAAAAAAAAAATGTTTAATGACTGTACTATTTAGAAAAATATATTATTTTTTCCCTCAATCAATATAAAGACAAAGAAAAAATATGACAAATTTATTAAAAAGAAAAACGACTATCTAATATTCGATGATTTTGGCTGAAATAACTGTCAACTATTCTGCAATAGTGAATCAAGTATTTTGCAATACTTGACACGTATCGATTTCATGAAATAAATCACAAATAATAAAATTCTTACGGTTGATAAATCCTCGTGACGTTCACCAGGCCTCGTTAAACAATCAATTTGATCGGCGATTGCTTTGCCAAAAACGACCAATTCCAGAAGGCTGTTGGCGCCTAATCGATTGGCGCCATGGATAGATACACATGCAGTTTCACCTGCTGCCCAAAGTCCATCGATAATGGTGTCCTCCTCGTTCTCACGCGATAGAACCTTATCCACGATTCGATGATTCATACGTTACACTTGATCTATTTAGGTCACCTATATTGTTTTTACAATTTACCTGCGCTTTCCAGTTTGTGGGTATACCGCCCATGTTATAATGTACCGTAGGAATAACTGGTATCGGCTCTTTTTCCACATTCACGCCGCTGAACACCCAAGATAAATGTGAAATTCCGGGTAATCGTGTTCGTATCGTTTCTAATGGTAGGTGATGCAATTGCAGGTACACATGATCCTTCTTCAAACCTACACCTCTAAACGGATTATGAAAAGTGTTATTATAAGATTGATAAAGATTGGAATATATTTTTAGATGTTTTTTAAGTAATTTAAAAAGAGCATCATATAGAAGTATTATACGTAAACAAATATTACAAAAAAAAATAATACAAAATTATGTAATTGAAAAACATGTCAATTTTCTATCAAAGTTATCACGAAGATTCGATTTTTTTTTTGCAATATTATTGAACAGAAAATTTATTATATAATGATATATTTTTAAGTTTTTTTCCATCTACGATTTTTTTACAAAAAAATATCAATTATGTCAGTATTCTTTAAAATAATAATTCAAGAAATATTAACATAATACAATCTAATTATGCGTGAAAACAATTTGAAAAAAATTTGAAAATTATTGAAATTCACCTTCCTTCCAATATTTCCATCGTTATCGCCCTGGAGACGATATCACGAGATGCGAGATCCTTCGCGTTCGGAGCGTATCGTTCCATGAAAAATTCTCCTTGAGAATTCACCAACTTTCCACCTTCCCCTCGGACGCCCTCCGTTATCAAAATGCCGCTCCCATATATCCCTGGAAGAAAGATCAACTGGTTAAACGCGGAAATCATTTACTCTTGGTTTCATATTCTGTTTTCCTTTTTTTGCCACGCGAATACCGGTTGGATGAAACTGGATAAACTCCATATCTTCAAGGGGCAATCCTGCTCTAGAGGCTATCGCAAGACCATCTCCTGTGCATGTATGAGCCGCGGTGCAAGAGAGATAACATCTTCCCGCTCCTCCTGTTGCTAATACCTGGAAAAAGTATCAGCTTCTTTATATATTTATATTTATATTATCTCGATTCGACATCGATCTTAAATTTAATCATCAAATCGGTAAACGAGATTATTAATCCTTAGATTTATCGTTAAAAAATTGCATATATACATATTTGTTTGTATAAATTGTATATATGTATATTATGTGTATATGATTTACATGTTACGTATAAGTACTGTTCACTGGTGGAAAAAAGTCACGTGGGATGAGGGGCAAGAGGGATCGCCTATCCCCACTTTAGACGCTTTGTTGACAATTACACCACACACTAAATAGTAGTAGAACTATAATATATATTTTTATATATATTATTATATATTTAAATATTCAAAATCGTAAAAATTATTTTCATTTATAAAGTTACATTAGAATCATCTAAGATTGGAAGCTGAAATATTTTCAAAATTATTAATTATTTTAATAATATGTCTTATTTGTATATATATAATTATTATCTTAACTACATTGTTATCTTAATACAAAATTACATTTATAAATTAAACTATTGTTACAAATTGTAATTAACTTACATATATTACGAAAAATAAAAAAATTTTATATCATATCGATACGTTAGAATTCTTTGGATGCCTAGACTAATGCATCGAGATTTAGATACGGATCATTTTGGATTAGTATATGTGACAAATTCCATGGTTTAATCAATCAGATCTGCATTTCTTTCCGCGAGACTTCTTTCCATCCAATGAACAATAAATGCATAAATGGTACGCAAAATTCTTGTTAAGATTCAAACAGAGCTGTTATCTGGTCTGGTCCTGTAAAGCTTAACGATCGTCACGTGTTTCGCGGAATAATACGGTAATATGATACTAAAGATAAGGTGACTGGAATTCTTTTTTACACGATTGAAAGACCGATGAATATGATATGTTGTACAATCTAAACGATTTACGAGAAAAAAATAAACGGAAACATAAATGCAGAGTAACATATTTTTATACAAAAATTATTGAAAACTTCAATAATTTAATAATTCAATAAAGTGAATATTATGTATAAAAACATATTGTTCCATTATATGTTAAAATTTGAAAACCGAAATATAACCATAAAACTTAATTCTAATTCCAGCGCCTCGACTAATTTTTGTATTAAAATAAATTTAAAATAATTTTATTATCGATGAAAAACGAATTTACCGTATGATGAGCCCTGAATCGATGCAAAAGCCCAGATTCTAATTCCCATGCCATTACGCCCTTGCAGCACCGTCCAACCATAAGAAGATCAAGAGCAAAGTATTCCACGTAATAATGGACATCGTAACGTAAACTTTGCCCGTATAAAGTGTGCAGTATTGCGTGGCCAGTTCTGTCTGCAGCGGCACAAGTTCTACGAGCTTGACCACCCTTTCCAAATTTTAACGACTGACCACCGAATGCGCGCTGGTAAATTTTTCCATCTTCCGTACGACTGAAAGGACAGCCTAAAATATCATTATATAATATACACATTTAAGAAAAACTTTTAACGTTGTTTGATTTATTATTATTATTATTACGAATTATTAAGTATTTTAAGATCGTTAAAGCGATCATTAAATTTGAATTGAGAATTTTCAAATTTCAACGTTACGTTACGTTAAAGTACAGTAAAGTACTGTTCATTGGTGGAAAGAAGTCACGCGGGACAGGGACGCAGGGGCAAGAGGAATCCTTCGCTAGGACCGCCTATCCCCACTTTAGACGCTTTGTTGATAATCCTGACACCACACACTGCATAATAGTAGAAGAGCTATAATTTAAATATTCAAAATCGTAAAAATTATGAAGTTCACTTATGAAGTTACATTAGAATAATCATTTAAGATTGGAAACTGAAACATTTTCGAAATTATTAATTATTTTGATACAATATTAATATATCTATAATATATATGTTAGAATTCTGTGGATTCTGTGCCTATATATTGCAAATGCTAATACATTGAGATCGTTGTTTTGGATTAGTATATGTGACAAATATTATGATAGAAATAAAAATCAATGTGAAAATAGGCATTTCTTTTCGCGAGACTTCTTATCAACTCCAGTGAACAGTAGTTTCGTTTATGATATATATTCATAGTTTTTTATTATCTTTTTTTAATTTCTCAATTTCTCGCCTTTCGCAAGATTTTGTAATACTGATATCTATTTCACAAAATTACCGTAATTTTCAAGTTCGTAAACGGCTCGTGCTGCCTCTCTCGCCAGAAAATGTATCGCATCCTGATCTCCTAACCAATCAGATCCTTTAACGGTATCGTACATGTGATAAAGCCAATTATCATCCTTATCGTTGTTAAGGACGGCATTTATTCCTCCCTGAGCGGCCACGGTATGAGATCTCGTTGGAAATAATTTTGTAATCACTGCCACTCTGTACCCTTTACTT